GCGTTATATATATATATACATGTAGGTAGTTTCATTTATTTCTCACTATTCAAAATCTTATGATTGGTGCAATAGTACTAATAACAAAAAATGGGCTGCTCTAAGTTTTCCATGTACAATTTCTTCTTCTTGATCATGGTTTTCTCTATAGTTTTAGGCCAAAAAAATGATCAAATTATGTTAAATGATCGCGATTCGCTTGTTTCATTCATGTCTATGATTGTTTCTGATCCATTTCATGTACTTGAAAGTTGGAATTCTTCCAACGTTGATGTATGTAATTGGACAGGAATTGTATGTGACAAGAAAATTCATAGAGTTGTTGAGCTTGATCTTAGTCATCATTCGTTACGTGGAACGATTTCTCCTTCTCTCTCTGGGCTCTCTTTCTTGCAGATTCTTGATTTGTCTGGTAACTTATTACAAGGACAAATTCCAGCTGAATTAGGCAATCTTGTTAAGCTAAATCAGCTTAGTTTGTCTTCTAATCTCCTCGAAGGAGAAATCCCAAACGAGTTAGGATTCCTTCATGAATTGAAGTATCTTGATTTGGGAACAAACAATCTTTCTGGTGCAATTCCTCTGTCTTTGTTCTGTAATTGCTCTGCTTCATTACAATATATGGACCTTTCTAACAATTCGCTTCGCGGTGAAATCCCTATGAATGATCATTGTGAGTTGAGTGGTTTGAAGTTTCTTCTTCTATGGTCTAATGAACTTGTTGGTGAAGTTCCTATTGCTCTTTCGAAATCTACAAAGCTAGAATGGCTTGATCTTGAATCAAATTCGTTGAGTGGTGAACTTCCTTCTGATATTGTAAGTAAAATGCCAAAGTTACAGTTTTTGTATTTGTCTTACAACAACTTTGATAGTCATAGTGGTAATACTGACCTGACGCCTTTTTTCGCGTCTTTAGTTAATTCTACTAACTTGCAAGAACTTGAGTTAGCTGGGAATAATCTTGGTGGGGAGTTACCTCCTATTATCGGTAACATCTCCAAGAACCTTGCACAGATACATCTCGACGATAATCTTATCTATGGTCCAATCCCAACACAAATTTCGAGTCTTGTAAATATTACTCTATTGAACTTGTCTAGTAATCATCTGAATGGTACAATTCCTCCTGAGTTGTGTCGAATGGGGAAACTTGAGAGGCTTTATCTGTCGAATAATTCACTCTCTGGTGTCATTCCTTCTGCTTTTGGAAATGTTTCTCATTTAGGCCTTCTTGATCTGTCGAAAAACAACCTCTCTGGATTAATCCCAAATACCTTTGCTAACCTTCCGCAACTGAGGAGGCTTTTGTTGCACGATAATCACCTCTCTGGAACGATTCCCCCGAGCTTAGGTGATTGTGTTAACTTGGAAATACTTGATCTTTCTCACAACAGAATCACGGGGACGATTCCAAGTGCAGTTGCTGGATTGAGTAGTTTGAAGCTCTATCTGAACTTGTCTAGTAATTACTTACATGGTCCAATTCCTTTAGAGCTCAGCAAAATGGATATGGTGTTGGCAATTGACTTGTCTTCGAATAATCTCTCATCTAATGTCCCTTCACAGCTTGGCAGCTGCATTGCTCTCGAATACTTGAATCTATCGCGTAATTCCTTAGAAGGACCTCTTCCATCTTCTATAGGAAGATTGCCTTACCTTAAGGAAATCGACGTTTCATTCAATGTGTTGAGTGGGGAAATACCACAGACATTTCAAGCATCGTCGACTTTGCAGAACCTCAACTTCTCCTATAACCGTTTCTCGGGGAACGTGACAGATACTGGTGCATTTTCATCACTAACCATCAGCTCATTCTTGGGAAATTTTAAGCTTTGTGGCTCAGTACAAGGCATGAGAAGTTGCCATAAAAAGAGGGGTAGACATTTTATTATCACAATCCTCCTTTCATTGCTTATAACTCCTATATTTTGCATAGTCGGGTACCCTCTCCTCCTAAGATCAAGATTCAGGAACCAATTCGCGAGTTTTAATAAAAGCAAGGTAATTGAAGATGTGGAGCAAGGTGGTGGGAGGAAAGAGCAAAAGTACCCGAGGATATCTCGTATGCAGCTGATTGAAGCAACGGGAGGTTTTAGCAGCTCGAGTTTAATAGGAGCAGGACGATATGGGCGTGTTTATAAAGGAGTGCTGAAGAACAACATGAGCATAGCTGTTAAAGTGATTGACACAAAAGGAGGTGGAGAGATATCAGGTAGTTTCAAAAGGGAATGTCAAATCTTGAAAAGGACTAGACATAGGAACTTGATAAGGATCATAACGACATGTAGCAGACCGGACTTCAAAGCTCTCGTGTTCCCTCTGATGTCAAACGGAAGCCTAGAGAACCATCTGTACCCAAGCCACGGGCTGAGACATCAACTTGACTTAGCTCAATTGGTTAACATTTGCAGTGATGTAGCAGAAGGAGTGTCCTATCTCCACCACTATTCGCCTGTTAAAGTCGTGCATTGTGATCTAAAACCAAGCAATATCCTTCTTGATTACAACATGACAGCATTGGTGACAGATTTTGGGATTTCAACATTAGTAAAAGCTGTTGAGGAAAATACAAATCCTATCGACGAATCAGTTAATTACAACTCAACAGATGGATTACTTTGTGGATCAATTGGTTACATTGCTCCTGGTTAGTAACAAATAATAGTTCTATTCTATCTAATTCATTTCAATTTATATGACTAAAGTTTCTGTTTCTTTGATTGTAGAATATGGAATGGGAAGGAGGGCTTCAACAAAAGGAGATGTATTTAGTTTTGGAGTTTTGTTACTCGAGATTGTGACAGGTAAACGTCCCACAGACGTTCTATTTCAACAAGGCTCGAGCTTACACGAATGGGTGAAGAGTCAGTATTCACATAAACTCGAGGCTATGATTGATGAAGCATTACAAAGATGTACAACAGTTCAACGCGATAGCAATATATGGCACGATATCGTGTTAGAGTTGATTGAACTTGGCTTAATGTGCACTCAGTACAATCCATCAACTAGGCCAACAATGTTGGATGTTGCACTTGAAATTGGAAGGTTAAAACAGTATGTTTCAACTTCTTCAAACACTGTTACTGAAGATGTCACAACAAAAAGTTGAACAGTTTTTTTTTTAATTTTTATATCTAACAATGTACCATTTAACTTTATTCATTGTACTTCTATGTTTTTTTTTTTACCTTTTTAATTGTTCCTTCTTGGGGTGCGGACCTTCTCTGGATTCTGCGTGAACGTGGGATGGTTCGTGCACCAAGACTACCCTTCAGGTGAGCTACAAAAGAATTCTTTTTGTTTAAAATATTAGTAATGTTTTTTACTACAATATTTGTCATGATTCAAGCCCTATTGTCTGCTTTGACCTAACAAACCTCGCGGATTTATCCCTCAGGCTACACCGGCATCGACGCCAAAAGTGTGTGTATTATGTGAATTTGTGTTATACCTTATAAACTCTTCACATTCTTCTTTTATTTCGACGTGAAATTCGCTTGATATGTTATGTGTCTTCTTCTTCAGAAGCTTGTCAACTTAGAAGTATGTCAGTTCTTTATTTTTATTTTTAGAGAAGAGCAAATATTTTAAGTTTATGAGTTCTGAATTCTAAATAATGCTTCTTATTAGGTTCTTGATAAATTATTCACACATTAAATAAATTCTTAAATACAAATACAAAATTTGAGCCGTAGCTATTGAGTTCTGCTGAAGTCGTAAGTGAAAATGTACCTCCACCCTTGCTCTTTTTAACCCGCCCTCTATCATGAGTGTCACATTATTCAAGGCTATACTGCTAATTAGACATGCAACCAACCAAATGTAGCCTTTTTTTTATGTTAAAATAGCTATGACAACTATTTAAAACTTTATACCAATTTAATTATCTCAACATTATTTTAATTAATAGTAAAAAGAACAAATCTCCTCTTTAACACTACTATTTTTGGTGTTATCTGACAAATCATATCTTGCATAGTCAAAATGCACTTATAGGATCTTTTCAGCCTACCATTAATATCAAATTTTAGATAATTTTTTTATAGCCAAGTGGAAAGTTGGTAATTTGCCAAACTCACTAAATAAATAATAAACTAATTAAGTTCACCAATAACTTTTTATGATTGCAAAATAAGGAGTATTGGCATTAGCAATTCAAGAAAGAAAACTCCACTCTAAATTAATTTTGGGAAAGTTACGGATATATACCGTTCGGTTAACTAATTTATCATCATGATCGAAATATACATAATATATATATTAAATTTAATTTGTTTGAGAAAAGGCTCACTCATGCCATTATTTGTCAACTGAAATGGCATAAATGAGCCAAACTTTTAACGGACGACATAGATGAGCATTTTCTGAAAGTTCAATGGCATATTTGAGCCATTTTTTTTAAAAAAAGAATTTAATTAATGATGTGGCCAAATCATAATTGACCATGTATAAAAAATAATTTTGCAAAACCGGAACTATTTTCAGCTAACAAATAATGGCATGGATGAGCCTTTTCTCAAACGAAAATGACATAGATGAGCCAAACTTTTAACGGATGACATAGATGAGCCTTCGATGGCATATTTGAGCTTTTTCCCATCTTAATTATTGAAATATGAAATAACATTCTTAAAGTCCAGGTATCTATACAAATAAAAGAAATACTCCCTCAGTTAACATAACACAATTAAGAAACAAACAAAATGTGGTAGCACCACTCACAAATCACAAATGAACTTACACTAATGAGCGGGGGTCTGGGTAGGGTAGAATGTACACAGACTTTACCTCTACCTTTGCGGGATAGAGAGACTGTTTCAGACGTCAAAACAAAAAACTGTTGTCAAAATATTAACAAATGTGAAAACATTCCTCTTCTTGATGCAACTAAGTTGATGAGATGAAGGCTATACGGTACTGTACACTCTATGCAATCAATTTACAAACGTATTCAATCTCTCCGCAACCACACAATAAAGCCAAAAATACTCTTACAGTATTCAGAAGTCACAGAATGGCAGCATCTTGATTATGTAACGGCCGAGGCAACTCCAGGTGACTGCTGGCGCTCGAGCTTTTGATAGATCCATCAGAGCCAAAAGTGAACCATTGCCTGTTCAAAATGGTAAGACTGTTAATTTATTTGTCTTACTTTCCTTTTAGTCCGTTTTAAAAAAATGTCACTTTCCCTTTTTGACAACTCTTTGACTCTAACTTTCCAAGATTCAAAATGTTTTCTTTACTTTTTTAAACTCCGTGTCAAGTCAAAATCAGACAAACAAATTGAAACGGAGGAGTTAACATTTTTCACATGTTGAGACTGAATACGAGTAACTAGAATCAGAAGAATGGAGGAATTTAGATGAAATGTACCTACCTCTGATAGAAGAAGTAAGGATGGTTCGTCGTCACTTGGAGGGAGTTTGTCGCTTTTCAAACTTTGGATTTCAGAGTGCATCAAATTTAGTTGCTCTTTAATGTCGTGTAACAACTTCAGTTCTTCTTCTCGAGCCATTTCATATCTTGACGCTTCTCTTCCAACTTCAACTATCTCAGATGTTCGATTGGGCTGATGAGATTCGCTAGTCTCGGAAATGCTGGTTGTAGGGCGAGATATTGCCAAATGGCAGGTAATAGCAGCAGCTTCACTTGCTCTTCGTAGCTTGTTCTCTCGCTGTGAAGATACAAAGTACTTCTTTAGCAAATCAGCTTCATCTCTAACCGATGATTTTACAGCCTCTTGTTGGGCAGAATCAGGTCTCTCGAGCCTTTCATCGTTATGTGAAACCATCTTGCGATCATGTTTAGGAGGCAATCCGATATCAATGGTATCCTTATCTGCTCGAGGCACTTCAAAGACATCAAGAACATTCGGAGAACAACCAGAATCAGCAGGTGAGTCATTTTCTGATTTGCTCACGTGAAGCTTAGGCGGCTGGTACGTTTCATTTTCCGATTTGCTTATCTTAATGCTTCTTTGAGAAAGCGGTGAAGGAGACCTCGTTTCACTCCTGATATTCGCGCAGCTAACTCCTGTAATATCTTTCACTCGATCATCCAACTTCCGAATTTGTTGCCAATACGAATTGATACTTCCAGTCGTGGAAATGGAAATATCTGTCTTCTTCTCTGTATCTGACTGCTGCTCATTCATCTCTTGCCCTGTATATTCCTCCACTGTTTTCGAATTTGAATCTATTTCCGAACTTGAATCATCTATTTCCATAGCACCCCTCTTTGGAATTTTCAGGGGAAAAGGAGGGGCAGAATTACGCCTTCCAAGGGCTTGGAGATTCATTTCGCCTGCTAAATTCTCGTTTCTTTGCAACAAATTCTCAGGATATTTAAATTCACCGACCCCGGGATCTACACAGCCCATGCTCAACAGCTTATACCGATAAGCTTGAACCTGATACTCCAATGCAGCTATCTCCATCTCCTTTCCATAGAAAAGATCCTCAAAAATGGCTAATGATTCCTCGGCATGACACATTTTCTCCTCAGCCAATCGCTTGTACTGCTCGGCTTCCATTTTTACTGCAGCTTTTTCTCCTTGGAGACGTAAGATCATCGATAACGCTTCACTAGCCGCACTGGAGGAGGCTTCTCTTTCTTCATCCAATTCACTGTAAAGCTTCTGTAGAAGCTGTTGTTGAGCACATAGAGTCTCTTTCAAAGAAGCAACATCAAGTTGAGACATATAACTATCAGCCATCTAACCGGAAGAGTAACTACACGTTTTCTGCGATAACAGAAGAAAAGATTGACAATGATTAACTTTTCTGATTCAATTTATAACTAACAATCAAAACTTCAGTTATCATCACAACCATAATCCCATTTGGTATTTTAACCAATTTAGTGTTCACTCAAGGAAAAAAAGGCTTAAACTTTGCATTTCTCATCAATTACAACAACAACTATGTCTGAGTCTCAAACAAGTTAGAGTTGGCTTTAGGAATTCTCACTAACCAACAACATACTACTCAGTGTAGTCCCACGAGTGGGGTCTGGGAAGGTAGAATATACACAAATCCTACCCCTACCTCTGTGGGGTAGAGAGAGTTGTTTCCATAGACCCTCGGTAATTCTCACTAACCATTTTTCCCACTTAAATTCATCCCATGCCAATAGTGTACAACATGAAATTGAGGCGAGGCTCTATTCAAAAATAGCCTCTCTACCTTCCAAGGTAGGGGAGTAAGGTCTGCGTACACTCTACCTCCCCATACCCCACTAGATATGTTATTGTTAACAATCTCAACATTCTCCAGCCGAGGGTCTATCGACAACCATCTTTCTACCTCCCAAAGCAGGGGTAAGGTCTACGTACACTCTATCCTCTCCAAACCAAACATGTGGGAATACATTGGGTATGCTGTTTTTAGGCAATCTCAACATTAAAAGAGAAATATTAAATATGTAATCTTCATATCAAGAAGGGCAATCTCAACATTCTCGAGCCGAGGGTCTATCGGAAAAACGCCTCTCTACCTCCCAAAGTAGAGGTAAGGTCTGCATACACTCTACCCTCCTCAATCCTCATACCCCACTTGTCGCAATACACTAGGTATGTTATTGTTACGCAATCTCAACATAAAAGAGAAATATGAAATATTAATCCTTATATCAAGATTCAAGAAGGGCAATCTCAACATTTTGCGAGCCGAGTGTCTATTGAAAATAGCCTATCCACCTCCAAGGTAAGGGTAAGGTCTGCATACACTCTACCCTCTCATACCCCACTTGTCGGATTGTTAGGCAATCTCAACATTACAACAACAACAACATTAACAGAGAAATATGAAATATGTAATCATTATATCAAGAAACAGACAATCTCAACATCAAGAAAAATATAACAAATGATCATTGCATAAACAGAGCTGAGGAACTTTGAGTTTACCTAATTTACAGCAGAGAAGAAGAGTCTGATAAACCCACAAGAATTGACCCAATCAAGAAACACAAGTCACCCATCTTCTTCTTTCTCCTTTTCTCTTCATAAAAATCAAGAAATGTTCATTCTTCAAAACCCCACAAACCAAACTTCACAAAAAAGGAAACCCCACCAAAATATTCAAACAAAATGTCAAATTTAATACAAAGAATCAATCTTTTTGAAAAAAGAAAATGAACCCACTAGTGAAAAAACAAAATCAAGATTATTTTCTGGATATTTATGAACAACCTTTTTTTTTATTTTCCTTCAAAAAATCAAGAAATGTTGATTCTTTAAAAACCCCACAAACCAAAAAGTAACATAAAGTGAAAACACAATTCAAGAATTGAAAAATAAGGAAACCCCACTAGAAGATTCAAAGAGATATTAATTTTTGATTTAAAAAAAAAATAAAAAATCCCAACTAGTGCAAAAATAATTTTTCAGATTAAAAAAAAAAGTTGGTTTTTGTAACGGTTTGTTGATTTGTCTTTTACAGAAAGGAAAGGTAGGCCTAGATTTTGGCTGTCCGTTTATGCCACCCAATTTCTAGGTGACTAATATCTTGATTTTATCCCCTTAATTAAGCACTAATTAAAAAAAATTAGAAGTAAAATAAATAAATTAAAATGACATCATCATAACTTTGAAGTAGGAATTCGTATTATATGTTGTTGCTATTACTATGTTCTTCATTTATTTTTTTACATGACTTCTTCACTGAGTTGAAGGTTCTTCAGAAATAATCTTTCTACGTTGGGTTAAGATTGTGTATGCAACAACCTCCTCAAACGCTACTTGTGAAATTACATTGAATTCATTATTGTAAGAATTGTTGTCATACGGTATTTAAAGTCCACCAATCCGATTAAGACTCGTGACTTGTTAGTGGAAAATATATTTTTTATAACAAATTACTTTAGTAGTAGAGCAGGCTAACTATTTTTCAGTCTAATTGAAAAATAGTTATTGTTTCAATTTTGATGATAATGATTATTTTTTCAATTATAAAGGCGAAAAAGTGTGTTATTATGAATGTTATTTTTCATTCTTAAAATCTAACACGAAACTTCTAATTAAGATTGAAAGAATCTCGTTCATCTCACTGTATTTTTGTGATGAATAATCATGTGGTCTAAGAATATGTCATGTAACAATATGATTTAACTTGATAATATTGTTGGAATGTCCACTGCCTTTTTTGTTATGTTGTCAGTTTTGATTTTTACAAATCACTTACTATTATATTTTATGGATTCTGACATTTTATTACATTTAGAGATTGATTAAGTGTAGTTAATTATTAAATCATTGTTTTGGTTTTATTTGAGCTAATCAATAATATTATAATTCTCTTGTTTTCAACCTGTCTTCTTAATTATTGAATTTGTTTTACGTATTTGTATTTTAATATGCTTTAATTAAATTGAGGACCAAGGCAAACCCACATGTAAGAGTGGGAGTACACGTGCACCCATTAACTTCAGGAAAAAAATCATATATGTACGTACGATTGGTCGAATATGATATTACATTCCTCTGTTATAACTGAAAATTTCTCTATCAATTCAGTTATGAAATTAAGCCAAATATGTATGTTGTGTTGTTGTCATAATTATTATGTATAACACTTTTCATTGTATTGAGTTTAGTTTAGCTTTAATCATTATTATATACTTTTAACCAGCTTGTAAGTATAGTTTAACATAAATTAACTTCTTCTTTCAAAAGAACATAAAGCAAAAGTTAAGTATTAACACCACAAACAACATGATTACACTTGTCACTCTTTTTTTTTAAAAAATAAAATAATAATAATAATAATAATAATTATTATTATTATTATTATAATAATAACAATTACACATGGGGTCGTTAGTCAACGGAAAAAAACGGTGAAAATGGACTTATTAAAAGTTTTAATTTAAAAAGTCGTTAAATAATAAATTTATTGTGTCTGTCTTTATTTATGGCCGACCATACTACTTATTCAATGTTCCAGAGCATGCTCATTGTAAGAGGATTCAAATAAATATCGGGGCGGATCTAGAATATCGAGTATGACTGTATGAATTTTGGATAATGTATGGTATCATATTAACGAGTATTAAATGGACTAAAATTATATGAGTGCTTGAGTTAAAATGAATTAGATTATAAATATAAAGTGTCGTATTATTTATTTCACAAGAGTTTGATTGAAGATTATAAACTAAAGTATTCTTGGAGTATATCGTCTTTGATGGATCTTAGACCAAATGTATCGTATATTAGTCAATGAAAGCCTTCATATATATACTTGATTGCCACGTATCTGGTTTAATTTGTTGACTTTCTTTCGTAAGGACTGATAACACACACCTTTTCGATAATTTCATTGTATTGTTATTCGCGACTTTAAGAGTAGAATTCTGTGTTTAGTTGGGTCATATTTCAACTTATCTAATTCTTAGATCGATGGACTTAATTTAACTAGACAAAATAAGTTATATTAATAAATAATCAAATTATGTTTTCATAAACTAATTCTATTGCTTCTATACCATAATAATTTATCTTATTTTCATTGAATTATTACATTTTTCTAGAGAAAATATTTTTAAAAGTATTAATCAACCAAACACGAAATTAAGAGGTGCCTCTTGTATTTAAATTTCTCCTTGGAAGTGATTAATGATTTTTATATTTAGCTTAAAGCAAATTAAGGAAACAATTAATACAGGGAAGTAATTAACAGCGTAATTAAATAGAATTAATTTCACGATTTGGTAAAGTTTACTTGGTCCTTGAAGTAGTAGGTGGACATTTGTCTCTCATTTATATTTTTAAGATTTAAGAGAAAAGATTTATCGATTATACAAATCAAATCGTCAAGTTAAACTGAATCAATTCAAATCGGAAAAAAAAATTGTGGTTTGATTTGATTGGTTTGGCGTTGAAAAAAAAAATCAATCACTCTTGATTTGATTTGATATTAAAAAAGAAGTCAAATCAAACTCAAATTAAACCGACATAATACATATAAGTATTTCATTTTATACATAAAAAATGAAGTATTAATTATAATCTACTTTGTTAATATATTTTAAATTAGTTTATAGTTTTCAATGTTTAGATAAATTATTTTCAAATTTGGACTTTGTAAATGTTTTGTTTTGTATTCAGATTGGAAGTTACAATTATATTCTTATAGTTTTTCAGATTGAAGTTAACAATCTACTTTGTAAATATTTTGTTTTGTATTCAATTTGACGGTAGCCTTTAATCTTATAAATTTAATATATTGAACGTTGATATTTCAATAAAATTATTTTGTATTCATGTGAATTTTACCGTCTTTTTGAAGATTCCTATTCATTTAATGTTTTTATTCTCTAGCTTATCACATAAGTAAGTGAAAATCTATTTAAACTCTTTTTCAATCATTATGTTAAAAATGAAAAAATCTAAAGAATCGATTAAAATTGAGATTAAAAAAATCGACTTTTATACTGATTTGAATCAAAATAATTAGTTTAATTATTTTAATGAAAATCAAAACAAACCTACATTTAGGTATCTGAGATCAAGATAGAGGGTACTTTGACCTTAACCTACCTTTATAGAGTAGAAATGTTGTTTACGATAAACTCTCAGCCCAAAAAGAAGTATTCAAGCAGGATTGCAACATGGTATAATGTTCAACCATTATGATGTGAATAATAGCCTGAGTTTTACATATGTTCAATAACATATATATATTCATCATAACATGTATTAAATTTAGTAATTCAAAAGAAGCTTTTGTTTAACTCTTGATGGTGCAAAGTATATGCTAATGTCAACTAAAGCAAAGTGCCTTTTTCAATCTACTGGAATTTCAACTTCCATCTTCAGATCAGAGCTGCCAAGAATCTGCAAACATAGTAGCTTTGTCAATATCATTCAACCAAACCAAGGAAATTCAGAAATCAATACGTCGAAATTTCCAATTTACTTTTCTCACTCACTGATAAGCTTGATACAATGATACGGATCAAAGTCACGTTACAAAGTTGATTCCGACTAGTAATGATCATGCTATGATGCAAGTGACACACACATCTCAAATTGGAAGTAGTGCTACTTTACTTTTCTCATCCCACTGATAAGCTGATCCGATGACACGGATTAAAAGTCATGTTATAATGTCTGATTCAATGAGTTATGATCATGTAATGATGTAAGGGACGCGTAGAGGAGGTAAAAACTGAACATGACAAGCTATAAGGATGTCTAGAAGAGTTAAGCAGCGCGAGGAAAAGGGTGTGTGTAACATCATATGTAGTTTTCAGTACATAAAAACCAAACATCAAAGGAGCTATCAGTTTGCATGAATTTCAGCAGCTCTAGAGTTTATTTTGTGATTTAGGAATGATACTTCTCCATTTGGTATCCCAATATTGCAGGAAGCATTTGCAAATCCTTCAACTCTGAATAATTTTGACAGTAGATATGAAGATGCTTTAATCTTATTCAAATATTCATGAAATTTCTAACTCAACTCACTAAAAGGAGCCTTAGAAGTTTACTAGTTTTGCTTTACATTATGTACCAAGCCGGATGATTACCAACTTGCTGTTTGACATTTCTTCATACATGCTTTCCTATACTGCTACTTGTAACTTTCCCATAGTCAAAACATATCAAGCTTCCCGACCATAACGATGAAACAGTTAAGGCAAAGTTTGTCTAAATATTTTTGCTTGATCAAACATTGAACCTTGTCTTAATTCACATGACCCCTTTTAATCTTTAATACAAATGCATTAATGTATATATCATAATATATTCTCAGAAAGACAGATTTAACAAGAGGCAAGAGTAATTGGCATCTCTAGAGAACCGTTAATTGATCTGTCAAAGGGCCATCAGAAACTTGCAAGAAGAAACAGATAGCATGAAGGTCAAAGGTCCAATATTTACCTTCAGGAAGTCAGATTGGACTAGTGAAGAATCCTTGCTATATCCGGCTTCCTCAAGAACACGCGTCAAAACTTGCTGCAAGGACGGAAATAAAAATGGAGTTAAACACAAGGTCACATTTCTTTTTCAGGTAAACTTTATAGAAGGTGGCTTCTTCAGTGATCCACCATCAAAATGTTCCCATTGACAACTTGTTTACTTCACAATCAAGTAAATTGTCCAAAAAAAAGGATTACATCTGTAACGTAATCCAAACCATAATGAATAATCTCATGAGTACACCTATATTTTCTCAAAGAATGATAGCATGTTGACGAACTGCACTCGATTTGCTATATTTGAATTTTTCTTCTCAGCTTCTTTAAAAAGTTGACATTTCCTGCTAAATACTTACTATGTTTTTTAGTCTTCAATTAAGCACTTCTTATGGCAACAAATGGAAAGAGCGAAGTAGAGTAGCTTTACAATAGTTAAATGAAATCAGAATAAGTTGCTAATCTTTTTGTTAGGTTAAAGGTGAATATGTGAACAAAATAAAACATGAAATAAGAGCTAAAAAATGTATAAGGTCCCCAGGTCTGTTACTGATAGAAAAAATTGCTCCCATGTTTATCGTTAGCGTTTTTTACTTTCTGCTTTATATAAAAGTGCTGTTCCGACTAACTTGCACGTACCACGGCTAATCCATGGTACCAAAGTATGTTTCAGATAACTCTACTAACTAGGCTTAGACAGATTAGAAGAAACCAAATTCAAGGCAAACACTGAAAGCAAATCAAACTATAAAAAAGTGGAAGAATGATTTTAACTTGTAAATGTTTTTAAGGGGATTCTCTACGCCTCGTTTTCAAAAGAGTGATTCCCAAAATCCAAGTAGATATAGTTATGCACTCTTCTCGGGATGATACTCCTTTCTCATTTCAGATGTGTTAAAAGGTGACATGGACACACGGAAGAAAAAAGAGAAATCTCTCTATGAGTTTATGATCACGTTATTTAATATCTTCTAAAGATGAAATTTCCACTTGTCTTAAGAAGTCAATTTTATATTCTTATTGTTTAGCAGCAATTTTAGTAGGACTAACCGACTTAGAAAACTGGTGCTCATAAATACACATTCATGTTTTCGAATTAATAGTGCAAAATATATGAGTTAATTTGAAGGCTTTCGGGGAAGATTTAGTCACTACTTTACTGCATTTTTACTTCTATGGTGGGATTTCTAGACTACTTTTCTTCTCTTACTCTACTGATTTACAAATAGAACAACTAAAACCTTTCCTTTCTGTGATTCTTGGAATCATTAACCTTAAAACAACAAGAACCCCGTATTAATCTCCAATGTCTCTGCCAGTATCAAGTCCTATAGATCTCCATTTTACTATAGTGCAACTATAGGCTAGTTGAAAGCTCCCTACATCAGAAGGTTACAAGGTAATCAAGAACAATCCAGAGATTGAATGCCTTGACGTCATTTTACTAAGTATACTTTCCAAAACAGAATAAAGTAAGATACAAAGAAACTCTACCTATTTTTCAACACTTTTTCAGTTCTCATCAGAAAAAGATCATAACAAATAAAAGCATCGGAAAACTAAAAGACAAACACTACCTCTCTTTGAGTCTCAGATATAAATGGTCCAGTCAAATCTTGCAAGACCTCCAGCATATCATTGAATGACACCTTTCCATTCCCATCAGTATCATAAACTCTAAATATAACTGGAAAAATAAGAAAGAATGGAAGCACATGAGCAACAATTAAACAGAAGAAAGTAAAGTTGAGCGCAAAAGAGGATTGGATTTACGCATTTTAAAGAGACGATCAAAGGTATAAAATGAAAAATTCCCTTACATTCAACCTTTTGTTGCAAGCTGGCATGAGCACTAAAGGCTGATAGGAATGCCACAAATTCTTTGAAATTTAACCCATCTATCATCCTTAATAGCCTCTGCGTTAAGAAAAGGGATTATTAAGAACAAAGTTTTACAGGTGGCAGAATTTGCAAAAATACATTTGTGACATGTCAATGCTGGTCATTGACCAAAAACTCAAATAAACGATATACTAAAAGAGCCACACAATCAAAAAGTTATTTACAGTTGCACCAAACCAGCAGCTAAGAGGAGAGAAGAGAAGAGAGAAAGCGAGCCGGAAACTTCTAACTTCATTCTCAATGTTCTAAAAAAATACAATTCTTATCAATGCTCAATCAGAACAAAAAAAGGAGAAATTAGGATCTATTAGTCTGCTAGCATGACCTCTCTGTTGATAAATCAGTGTACCTTTTTAATCTCTATTTCATTTCCCGTTCAAAGACCTCTCTGTTCCAACGTACCTCTCTTTCCCTCCTGCATGAAACCTATGTTTTTCTTCGAGTTAATTCTTTACCCTTACATCTCTAGTTTTCCTGGCAGAACATAAACCAGGTCTCATGTTGTTATCGTTTACAGATTGGATCATCTTTCAATTCTACTTACTTCGAAATTATAACAGATAGTCTCACGAACTTGCATTACCAAACCTTTCATATCTGAAAGACTGAATTTGTTCAGTTTACCAGAGGGGTAGGCTTCTTTCTGACACAAAAAGTCCCACAAGCATCAAATAGCACAATAATACCATAGAAACAATTCCCTCATTATTGTGTGAGGACAACCAATCGCAGAACCACATTTGTCCTAGGGGAGTCAATTGACACCACTCTTCGGAAAATTACATTGCGTAGGTATGCCAATGTTTTTTTTATGTATATATATTTTATGTTGAATCCTCTTGGCTTCTTCGAGTGTTTACTTCCTTATATTTTGGATTATCTTGCTCGAACTCTTCAAATATACCGACGAGTGTGTGCAAGATGCTCCAAAAGTAGTGAATTCTTTGGAGGATCCAACATGGCGAGGCAATATTTTTGGAGAGTCCAAGCAACAAAGATTTTGGATTCCATTTAGTAAAAATCTTGGCTCCGGCATTGGGGACAACCATTTCAAAGTAAATGCAAAAGAACTAGTCCTTGATTTCTACAGCATTCTAGTGCATTTGCATGCTTCAATTCACAAAACTATACAATCTAAATCCTGAAACAGTATTTGCATAAGCATATAAGGAAAATTTAGTTGATTTCTCATATGCTCACTCAACTAATAGTTATTATCTCAAAAAGTCACCTTACTTTTGGTTTCCAATTTTCTTCAACAAAGAAAGTGACATTATTAGTTAAACGACCATCTAAGAAATCAACTCAACGAAATATTTGATATCGGGTCGCACAACTATGAGGAAATTACACAAAAGCACATGTTTTTATCATGTAATAATTATCACACAAACAATCAAACCTGAGAGAGAGGATTGACAGCAAATTCAGGCACTGAAAGAAACTCTTCTCCAGAGACAAATCCACAACCATTTCTATCCAGTTGACAAAACCTCTGGTACAATGATAGAATCTCCTGCTGTGAAACTAAAACCCCAAAACAAAAAAGTTACAAACTTTAGTAAAAAAAATACACTTTTAAACATTATAAAGAAAAACCACATAGCTCCAAAACAAAAAATTACAAACTTTAGTTAAAATGCCCTTTTTAAACATTGATATAAGAAACCCCACATAACCCCAAAACAAAAACAAGTTACAGACTGTAGTAAAAAAACACCTTTTTTAAACATTGATCAAAAACCCACATAACCCCAAAACAAAAAAGTTACAAACTTTAGTAAAAAATACTCCTTTTAAACATTAAAATAAAAACCCCACAAAAAATTACAATCTATAGTGAAAAATATCCTTTTAAAGAGAGAAATATGCATACATGTGTGATTGCAGTGTTCTTGAACTTCTTCAATGTCATATTGAGTCAGCAAGGAAGAAGCATTGCCCATTGTTAATGAAGAAAAGTGAAATCTATGATAAACAAGAAACTAATGAAAAGGGGGATTTTGAATTTTGGGAATTTGGTAAGCTGAAAAATGTAACAATTGAATGAAACTATGTGAATATTGAATAAGCACTTTGCATTGGTTTCTACAGCTTTTTTCCAACTAATTCTGTCACAGGCATTCATTGTTGGGAAAGGGGTATTTATTATCGGTTAGGTTTTATGTATTATGATTGGATTTATTAGTTTTCGATTACCAATAACAAATCAATAAAATACTATTTTATCAATTTTTGATTTATCGGTTATTTTGGTCAATAATAGTTCGATTTTCGATTTTCGATTATCCAATAAGAAAATGTTCATAAAATAAATATATGATTTCTCACTTCTCTAACAATTTGGTGCGATATAGTGAGACAAGCAAATCAATTGTAAATGCTTTGATATAGACATATAGTGAAATATAATGAGATATTGCATCAATAAGAGTAGATGTAGTTCGAAGGCTACAATTACTGTTACAATCAAAACATAATATGAAATTTCTTATGTGAAGTAGAAGTATTGTGACATATGAAGTGTGTTGACCGTAGTTTAGAGTATTGATATAGTGTTTAGTTATGTTAAATTATTAATATTTAATATTTATGAAGGGTATTGCAGCGACCCTTTTTAAAGAGACTTAACTTATACTTGCGACACTCAAAAGCGATTAACGAGGGCATACTGATTATAATCTAGTAGAGGGTTAGATGCATAATGACCTCCGAAAATTAATTTAAGCAAATAACCGACAAGCTTTTCATGTATATATATTATCCTCACACTCAAGGATGAAATAACAAGAACATTACAAGCTTCTGAGTACCGAAATTAGCCTGCTCATGCTTCACACAAACATTCGAAACAAATAGTAGATTTAGGTTATTACAAGACTTGGGTTTATACACCCCAAAAAGAACAAAACATATAGCCATAGTTATATTACAACTCATGGTGACATGATCAAATCAGCCCTCAAAATCCCATGTAAATATACAACACATAGAATATGTACAAGTCCCAAGGTTTTATACAAAAATATAGATGCTTATATGCAAATGTGATCTTCCTTAAGGCTCTCAAAACATCCATCTCCAATGGCCAGCTTCAAGCATCATCTCAAACAGCCCCTACGATAGAAACAACTATCGCTAAGCATATAGCTTAGTGGTGTAAAAACTATAGGTTTAGAGCCCTCAAATTCAGCAAGTTATCATTCTCAAGTCGAGGGCATCATAATTGAACATAATAAATAAATCAAGTACACAATATATAAAGAGTATCAAGTTCGATATTTAAAGATCCAAATGTCAAGAACGCTCATAGCACAGTTTTCCAAGAGATTCAACAACAAGGCTCACCCAATATATATATCATGTCGTCACACCAAGCACAAACTGGTATTAAGAAGGGTCAAAACCCAATAATCAAGAGAACCAAGAACCATATTAAGAATGGCTTTCTAGTTCGTACTTAAAATGGACAACTTCCATTCTTAAGACGGACTAAAAATCCAGAGTCAAGATGGTAAATAATCCGAATCAAGAGGCATGCCAAGAGTGACAAAGTCACAGCCACAAGAAGGACAAGGTCCCAACAAGAGTGCCAAGTGATCAAACAATTTGTACAAGTGGGCGAGTTACACAAGCGTCTTTAATGTATTAAAGAATACCAATACAACAATGCAAAGTGACAGAAGGTAACCAAGGTACCAAAGTAAACTTTCAGATATACCAGCAGGTAAAAAGAGTACAAGTATAAATGTATACACAAACCTCAGTTTTTTAGCACAAAACAGTCTAATACAACTTCACGAGTTCAAATCGCCGACCAAGCAGCGTATCAAAGTCTTCAACTCGTACACACGGATATACAACCTTAAAAAATGAATTCAATAACTTATTTACTTTCTAGTAGCTCAATAATGATGGCATAACACAGGGTTATCATCACAAGTAAGCCTAGCCTATACAAATATGACTATACTCCAAAAATAAAAATTATGTCCAATAAAAACACTTCATGTCGCAACTTAGATTTGAAACAGAAAAAGGCCAAAATGGATTTTATATCCTTCATAAAAGATGTAGGTACATCTATTAAGCTTGCAAATAATCAAGAATCACAGGAAAATACGCTTTGTATAAAAAGATATAAACAAAACACTAACAGTTGAACATACATGATTTCAAATTCCAGAATCTGGACAGAACATGTCATATGTTGCGTCCCTTATTTCGTAGTCATAACAGCTAAATTAGAGTTTACCATGAACAGAAGAGTTGTAGGTATATGAATCAGCTTTCCAACATATATTTATTCACCTCAAAAAGAGTTCTACAGAACGAGAACTTCTAAAATTACTAAACACTACTCAGCTTAAAAAAAAACAAGTTTTGATTACTCACCAAAAGGTAGGATGTCTCGACTTCCAGCTAGAAGGACACAGGTTTTCTCTTGTGATTTTGATGAACAACTGGTTAGAAAATGTTCTTAGGTTCTTGGACTTCAGTTCCAAACGAAAATCATAAGAGGAGGTGTGATAATATAGTCTTAAGAGTGATGCTTAGTCACATACACAACTGTCACTAAAAGGTGCTGCCCCATTTTATTGTGTGTTGCCCTAAATGTAGACATATACACCTATATGGATATAATTGATACCAACACTTTCAATTCATATGTAATTTTAATTAGAAAAATTATGTAAATACCCCCATACAACACCTTAAATTACAAGCACAATTTATTTTAAGCAAGGTTGCATATATCACAAAATTTCAAGTTCCCAAAATAAGAGTAAAAAATATTGTAGTAATTAAGAAATGATGCATCAACATGCAAGAGTTGATCTAGTATTTTAGGGGTGTTACAGGTATAGTAGTAAATTACTGTAACGACCTGATTTCGTCGTTAGGGAAAAGTCAATGAAGAAAGAATTGGGCCAGAAAACTTTTTCGTAGTAACTTGGAATTTCCCAACCTAGTCCAAATTTGGACGAAATCGGAGTCATTAAGGTGTAGGGAAATCTGGTAACAATCGGGTGAATCGTTTATGATTTTGATTACATAAGTAGTTAGATAACTCGTTAAGGAATCCGTACGACTTTACGGAATTGAATTCGGGCGAGTAGAACTCCCGAAATCGATCTTAGCGTAAAGGGTATTTACTGAGCGTCGTGGGTTAGAGGTGTGTCGTGAAATGGGAATTTTGGAGTTCTTGAATATAACTCATTGTTTCGTTTTGACCGCTTTGACGGGAATGCTTGCCACTCTGGCGTCGCCATTATGGCGGATCCGACGCGAATTAAAGTTGTTAATAAACCCCTAAACGACCTCATTATGCACTTTTTGACTTTTAGAGCTAAGGAATGACCCCCCAGGCGACTCCTATTCATTTTTCACCACCCTTAAGGCTAAAGAAAAGTTTTTCACTCCCCGAATCCATTTTTCGATCCGTAAAACGTAATAGAATGGGTGAATAATGATGGGGGAGGGTTTTGTTATAGATTTTATGGTGGAAACAACCCTAATTTGGATAATTGGGATCATGAGTTTGATCTAGGGTTCATAGAATGGTTAGTATTTTGGGTAATTAGTAATTGTTGTTGATTCTCGTATTATTATGATTATTTGTAGACCAAGAACAAGCGGAATGAATCCGGAAAGGGAAGGATCAAGTTTCTTAGGGTTTCAAGCTTGTTTCGAGGTAGGTGATGATTGTGATTCTATGATTGTGTGATGTATGTTTGTTCTTGCTTCATTATGATACATGTATATATTTCTATGTTGCATTATTGATCACACTTATTGTAAATGAGATAGATGGATATTATTGCCATGAAATCATGACTTAAATGTATGATCTTTATGATGTACTTGTTTTTGTGATAGTGGTGTGTGAATGGGATCAGATTGCCACGTTCTAGCATAACTAACTTGGATCGAATTGCCACGTTCCGACATAATTATGGGATCGGTTGTCACGTTTCGGCATAAATATGGGATCGGATTGCCACGTTCCGGCATAACTAACTTGGATCGGATTGCCACGTTCTGACATAATTATGGGATCGATTGCCACATTTCGGCATAAATATGGGATCGGATTACCACGTTCCGGCATGCTAACTGTTTGGGTTTGGGTTCCATGAGAGGATCATTGAATTGGGTTCCGTAAGATGACCATTGAATTGTGTTGTGTATCTACTTGTGATGAGTTCATTCATATCTAATGACGATTGATATTGGAAGACGGTATATTGCTCTAAATTGATATAACTGTGATACGTGAGAATCGTGAAATTGGTCATTATTCGTATATGTTGATGATATTGTATATGTTCGATATGTGCATGTGATTATATTGATGTATTGACTAATGTATGTTACACTTAGTGGGATAGTCGTGTGATCCTACCAGTACACGGTGGTTGTGTACTGATACTGCACTTGCTCTTTCCTTGTTGAGTACAGGCATCTTCAGGTGGCTATTGATAGACCTCAGCTAGGTGACTATGAGCGTGATCAGATTCAAGGGTGAGCCAGTTCTTTCAGGCAGCCATGGATCTTCCTTGTTTAAGTCCACTCTTTTTGGACTCAGACTTTTGTTTAAGGTTTTGTTAAGTTTCGGGGTTGTACCCCTTGTTCTTAGACTTGTCGTTAGTAGAGTTTTGGTACATTGACTTTCAGGTTCTAGGTATTAAATTTCCGCATTTGTTAGTTAATTAATTTGTTTTCGTAGTTTAAATGCCTTAGTTTTGGTTTAGTTTCTTGTTTGAGTTGTAGTAGTGGTTCTCTCACCGGAGGGTTAGTGTGGGTGTCAATCACGACGGTCTGAGTCATGACAATTACTATCATCTTAAGTTACGGGATTTTGCTAGATTCTATATATTTTTTGCAAAAAAAAATGGTCAAACAACATTCCAACTTCAAAAAACTTCTATAGTTGAAACTAGACAAAGATACAATTGAGGCAGATTTAAAAGACAAGATTAATTTTAAAAAAGTGATAATAGCAAAATATTGATAATATCAGTAATAACAATGATAGAACAATTATAATTCTAACAAAGTTAAGATAATAAAAATTAAGGATAGCAATAACACTAATCATTATGATTATAAATAGCTATGATAAACATATACTTTGAAGTTTGCACATCAGAAAGATGTCTACAATACTCAGTACGTAAACTTTACCTGTAACACCCTGTATCCGAAAATAGACCAGATTGCAAATTTCTGATGTTGTAGGTGGCACTCACGGGCACCATCCACGAACCGTAGGAGGACCCACGATCCGTCCTGCAAGTCTGTGGTTCGTATCAGCAAACTCCCCTAGAACTCAGCCAGAAATTCGGCCAAGTGTCGACCCACAACCGGATCTACGGTCCGTAAGTCAGGTCACGGACCGTGGATCGATGCCCCTAAAGCCCAGCTTCAGTCCCGATTGACGGTTGACCAGCACGGACCGTCATTCGATGCACGGTCCGTAGGTCTGACCGTAGGTGAGGGTAGCAACCAGTTAGATGAAAATTGTGATTGAGTCAACTTCAGATGGTCATAACTCTTAGCACAAAAGGAATTAGGTGTCCCATGACATATGATATGATAGATAATTGAATCCTCTTTCCAACGCCACCAAATTTACTAAAATCCGACCTTCGAGTAAAAAGTTATGCTCGTTTTAGTGAAGCCCTGTCGGGCATACTCAACCGACGACTCCAATCGACGGACCGTCGATTAACCTACGGCCCGTCAGTCCCGTCCGTCGGTCACTCCGACAGTAATTAAGTCAGGGGTCTTTTGGTCTTTTCCTATTTCGTTGGACCCCCCAAGATACGTCGTTTAGACCCTAAATCATGAGGTTTTAGTCAGTTTAAGCCTAGAAACATAACTAGAACTTACCTAAGTCAAATCATTAATCAAAACTTAGAAAATTAGAAGCAAGAGAGGAGAAAAAAAGTCAAGAACCCTAGTTCAAGAACACAACAAGGTTCCATCAGTTCAAGCCCCGAAATCGAAAGATTTCTCCGTGAAATTCGTCACCAGGTATGTGGGATTTCACTAGTGGGTTCCTTTCGCCCATTGGGTCCCTAGAATTCAATCAGTTTCTTGATTCCTTTATTATGAATAGACCTAGGGTTTCTAGAATTGCAGCAGATCATCATGAATTAGTTATTAACATGTTCCAAATCAGATTATCATGTTTTTGCTCAGTTTTATTGCATGAATTTCAGAACCCTAGCTATGTATTTCTTTAGTTCTTAAATTACACATGCTAGGTCAGATATTTCAGTATTCAGTTATACATGTCTCAGTTATTGATGCATCATTATTAGATTAATTGTTGCATTCTTAGTTTGCATGTTCAGTTCGAGCTATCCAGTAACTTACAAAAATTCAGTCATAATGTGTTAATTACTTAATCTATTGGGAGTAGCATAATACCGAGTTGGACTAGGGTTCAGCGTATCCATATAGTCCCAGAACTACGAGCCACGTAGGTGTAAGTCCCCTATGTGGGCAACATAAGTTTAGCTATCACGCCAGCATGCCTCTATACCTCTGGCAGGGTATATTGGGTCCTCTCGATGGGGCGTATACGTTAGACTCCACATTTAGCTCATATGGTTTTATGTCGGTTATTAGTAGCTCCCACAGTTCAGTCAGACTCTATTGCATTGACCATATTTCAGTACAGTCAGTATTCAGTCTCAACATGTTATAAATTTGATCATTGCATCAATTAGCTCAGTATTCAGTATTTTCAGTAGCTATATCATATTCAGATTATTTCATTGTCTAATTGCTTTGTTCAGTTATATGTTATTTCAGCTTTACTCTATCCTGCATGCTCAGTACCTTTCAAGTACTGACGCATACGTGCGCTACATCTTATCGTGATGTAGGTTCATGTTCTCAGCATCCAGATCACGCTTAGATTGATTCCCGATCTTCAGTTCAGCAGCATCAGTGGTGAGTCCTCATTATTCGAGAACTAATGACATGTTTATCTTTATTGCTTTTAGTCTTTAGTTTCAGTTTTACTAGACCTAGTTGGGGCATGTCCCAACATTTCTAGTCAGTTTAGAGGCTTATTTCAGACATAAATAGATTCAGCTTAGTATTGAGTTAATATCTTCCTTGTATTAAACTCATCAGTTTTCATTTATCTTAGTTATAGTATATGGGTATTCCCCATCTTTTCATCTTATTTATGATTTAGCTTCCGCACAGTTTCTATTATTTAGATTATATTTAGTATGCTCATGATCATGCCAGCAGGGTTAGCTTAGGATCACTTGTGGTCCTAGGTCCCTTGTCCGCGTCTCAGGGGTAGCTTGGGGCTTGACATTAACCCTACCTCACAGAGGTAGAGACGTTGTTTCCAAAAGACCCTCGACTCAAATACAACAACTTTATACAAAACGTAAAAAAAGCATAGCAGCTAGTACTTGTTTTGTTTCTGCTTCGTTCTCATTTCTTTTTCGTTTCTGCCCTTTCATTCCCATTGCATTCAAAGCTTCTATAACATCCTTCATCGTTGGCCTTTTGTCTGGACCAAAATCTGTGCAGAGGATCACCAGACGTGTTAAATCAAATGCAGTTAGATGATCAACTTCTTTGAAGCATTCGTGAACCAAATATTTTTTACCATGATTAGCCGCATTTGCAATTAATGTTTTCACATTAACAAAACCATTATGGAAACTAAACTTCATTTTGACCATCAGCTCCAACAGTAGAATACCACAAAAATAAACATCAGATTTATGGTCCTCTCACTTGTGTATAAGAACATATAAGAAACATAACTGTATAAGAGCAAAAAAACCAGATAAATACGAGGATCATGGCAGAGCTAGTTTTTGAGTTGAGGACTTAGTGCACACTAAGAGCATTATAAGTCCTTGACTCATTTGGAGTTTACAATCGTATAATTGCTAACACATAAGAGCTATTTCTATTTTCCACAATTCACTAAGAATATCAACCTTAGCAAGGGAAAAATCGACTTCTCAAATTGTGCTACATGTGTGGTAAAGAAGTTGAGACAGTCAATCATTTATTCGTAAACTGTAGGATCACAAACAAGAAAAAATGGGACATGAATACCAAATTCTTTCGGAGAGTAGCAAACTCTCAAAGAAGAAGTGAACACGCTGATAGAGTGTATGCAAATCCTAACAAATGATGTCAAATTAAGGTTGTTTTTGTAGGATGAGATCGAGTTGCTAATAGATGAAAGAGCAGATTAAGGTTGTTTTTGTAGTATTCCATTCGATTTTCTATAGTTACATTAAGTAGAAGTAGACGATAACACTTAGGTAGACCCTGTCTACCTTCTTGATCAAGTAGGGGTAAGGTCTGCGTAAACTCTACCTTATCTAGACCCCACTCGTGGGATTATAGTACTGAATATGTTGTTATTGTTGTAATTTCTCTACTAAATGTAGTGTTCTATTCTTATATTTTCTGGATGGATACAGGTATACGATCGATGAAATCTGATGTTTATATATTTGGCATTCTACTGCTAAAGTTGATCGCCAAAAATGAGTTTATCTGTGATGGTCCTTATCAGCTGCATTGGATAGTTGTAAAAGAGGATAAGTGTGGAAAAAATATTTGGTTCATGAGTGCTTCAAAGTAGTTGATCATTCAACTGCATTTGAGATCACACTTTTGGCTTTACCAAAGTGGCAATGTACAACTCAAAAAAGGAAATAACAAACGGCTTTATTCCAACTCCGCTGACATGCCTAGTAAATCACTATGCATAATCTCCCTATCTCCTAACCACAATTTGCTAAACTGGATAGTAATTCAGCTAATTCAAACACCTAGCTAGTTTCCCATGCATGCTTGCTCGAACATGAACCTCTTGAATAATCTTTCTCACAATAATATCCTCGCAGCGACATGTATTTTGAAAACTCTATGATTTCCTTCCATCCACAACTCATAAACAGTGGCAGCTAGTGTCATTTTGGAAATAGTAGCAGCATTGCCCTTGTCATTGCACATAGTTTCATATCATTGTATTTCTCCACACAGTTCATTGTTTGTCGATTAATTACTTGCCAATGCTCTTCTCCACACGTAGGAAGCTACAAATCACTCAAAGAATAAGTGTTCTATATTTTTTGATTCAATATCATAGAGAGGACATAAAAGACATACTTGCATTCCCCATTTTAGCATCCTATTAGTATATAGCCTACTATGAATAGTCACGTATAAGATGAACAACCACTTTGATAAGCCTGGATTGTTGCACATTAATCTCCTCCAAGGCACAATAAGTTGGACACCTATCAATTTTTGGTACATCAATTTGATTGAAAACGTGTATATCTATAACAATTCAGTTTCAATCATACCTACCTCCTCAATGTATTTTTTGCGCCTTCAATATCTTATGAACTATCCAACATGCTTGATAAAATTATTACACACATTATTTTTTTAATACTATATTTTATCACAAATAATTAATTTTTCTATATAAAAAAGGAAAAAGGACAAATATACCCCCGAAATATCGTAAACGGTATGCAGATACTCTCCTTCATACTTTTGGGACATTGGTGCCCCTGCCGTCCAAAAACTAGAGCATATATACCCTTTATACTAACGGACATACACGTGTCATAGTCTAATCCATCGACCCGACATTTATTAAATATCGGATCGACGGATAAGATTGCGCTACGTGCCCCTATTTAGTTTTCTGTTAGAGTGAAGGGCATATATGCTCTAATTTTTTGACGACAAGGGCACCAATATAACAAAAATATGACGAAGGATATCTGCATACTATTTACCATAATTCGGTTATATTTATCCTTTTTCCCTATAAAAAATATAATAATTTAGTAAAAATTTGGGTCCTCTTTTTTGGAGGCCTAATGCATATACCTTATTTTGCATAACATAGAGCCGCCCTCCCCAACAGAACGTGCCGCTGTAAAGCAGCCATTAACGGCGAACAGAGGTTTTGTCTCCGGTGAACCAGTGAAGCTTCAAGCTCCGACACGAACCAGCCAGCGAGCTCGAAGCTCGCGCAACCGATAACAACCAAATTTCACCAGTGAACCAGCGACACCAACTCCGGCAAAACAGGTAATCTTCTATATATATATATATATTTAGCTTTGTTTATTCTCTGCGTTTCATATCTGGCTGGAGGAGTTTAAACTCCGGCCATCATTATTGTTATTTTATGTTTTTTTAGTTACTGATATAATTTTCCGATAAAGTTCATCATCTCTGACCAGCTATGTTGAGTTTTTGCCTCAACATTATTTTATTTCGGGTGTTCAAACTGCCATAAGCTTTTCCTGTTACTTGTTGCTTTTTATGGGATTTGGGTGGTTTTTTTTTTTTGTTGTTGTTAGAGATTAATTTGGGCGTTTTTGGTTGGATTTTCCTCAAGTTTTCAGCTGAAAAAAGTGAGCTTGACAATGGAAGAAGATAAGGGGTTGAAGAAAGAGAAGAAAAACATCCCTGTATTGCCATGGATGAGAGACCCAGTTGATATTACTACCTTTGATCAATGTTCTCTAGATCTTTTGCCTTTTATTGATCCCAGGTACTCTTTCCGCATTATTCCCTTGAACCCAAAAATCAACATGATGTTCCGAGTATCTTGAGTTCTCCATTTCAATTTGTTTATGTGGTTTTGACTTGACACGAACTTTAAGAAACTAAAAAAAAAGACAAATTTTGTGGTCAATACATTGAATGTACCAAATGCTCATTAATCTCGTGGTCTTAAACATGACTTGTAGAAAGTTAGAATTAAAGAGTTGACAAATAATTGAAATATTGTATGCTACAAGTGAATATTTGCGCCAAGAAATAATCCAAATTTTAGGATGAAATACCCTTTTAATACAGTTCATGAAGGCTATTGAAGTGCTAATTCCTGGAAATTAAGAGGCGTTAACAACAAAGAAATTGTCAGAGTTATCTTATCAATTCTATCTAGTTCCAATAGGCTTGATGTTGGAAAAATACATTCTTTTTTAAATGGATTAAAAAGGAGATTAAGACAAAGAAGTTGAAATGGAGTGAGTACATCTTTAGAAACTGCATAAAGGTTCTATCTTTTAAAAATATTAGTAACTCGTTCAAACAGTTATATGAATGTTGGCAGAACCAGGTTGTGATCAGAAGATTTAAGATAATTTGGAGGGATCATTTGTGAAGAACTCCATTCTATCTCTTCCTCGTTACGAACAAAAAAATGGAATGAAATCCCAGTTATACACTCCCTTCGTTCTACGAACCCTTGTTGATTCTGAACGAATACCTTTATACATCATGTGGAACATATGGCAAGACATCAATAGGAGATTTATTGTTGATAAAAAGCGTCACATTTCTATTATTATTAAGAATAGATGGTTAGGAAGCTTATACTTTTGGTGTAGGAGTAGTTTGATTTAAATATCCCAGAATTTAGAGATGTTCGAGTTTCTACAAGTTTCTGTAGCTCCTGAAGCTTTTTTGGACTTTGTTAGCTCCTTAATTTTAGATTAGCCTTTTGTAATAGAGCAAACAATGTCTTTTACTTTTCTATGCTCTGTAAATTTTGCATTTTCTTGATAGAAGATGTTTTGAGTTTCTGGGAATGTAGTTTTTGTATGGTTTTCTTGTAATTTTTCAAACCCTGCCTCGGAAGCTTGGTATTTAAGTGGAAAACTATAGAAAAGTGCTACTGCCCTCGTGGTTTCTCAGTTATCATCCTTCTGTCTTGTCATACAATCTATACGACATTCTTTTTGTTTTGGGATGCGGCAAAATCTTTTGGTTCCCTTTTATTAATAATGTTACTTTCTATAGCCTTTTACCAGGTTCAAGTATTCAAATTATTTAACTAATCAAATACTAAATTCTGATGGTATATTGTATGTTCTATTTATCAAACTAACTTTTCAACTTAAAGTACTACTTGTATCCTATACAACATAAACTAACAAGTTAAACTCCATGCACCAAAATGGTGTCCCATAATATGGGAAGGATGGAATACAAACGGGTTGAGAATATTGTGTTGAAAGTATTTTTTCTTAATGGCATCATTTATAATACGATCACTGAGATCTAATACTATCTTACAGCTGAAGAACTATATGACCTGGTGTGGGACGCAATTTCCGAATGTCTTGTTTCCTTCTTGTTGTTATATTTGTACAGACAGATATGAATGTTTCTCATCCATATTCTTCAATCGTTTGTATTGTCTGCTGGTTCCCAATCGATTGCATGGCCAGTTGGCAAACCCCATCTCAAAAGAGAAAAGTTCTCCATTCCTCCAGGATAAGGAATGAACAAAATGGAAATTATTGTTAATGATCACCTCTCAGTTTCGACAATTAATATTTCATTTCTTATCCAAAATATCATCAGTTTATTACTTTGCTTTACTGTTTATAATAAAATTCCTATGATTGCAGTTGAAACATTGTTACACTTATACCTTATGCTTTCTTGACACTTCATACTGAATCTTGTACACTTCCACTCCAACTTACTCTTACCCATACATGTTTCTTCGCTAGGTTAGTGGCGGCTTTGAAGAATATGAGCATCACTTCACTCTTTCCCGTGCAACTTGCTGTCTGGCAAGAGACGATTGGACCTGGCTCTTTTGAACGAGACCTTTGTATAAATTCACCTACAGGGAGCGGGAAAACTCTTGCTTATGCCTTACCAATTGTTCAGATGCTGTCTACACGTGCTGTTAAATGTCTTCGTGCACTTGTGGTCTTGCCTACTAGAGACCTTGCATTGCAGGTTATTCACCGTAGTTTTTTAGTTTTAGTTTTGGAAAATGCACAGTGCATAATTACACAAATTCTCAGTTACCTGTAAATCTTTGGATCAGCTATCTTTCCAACTTTGCCTCCTCCCTTGGCCTTTTCTTTTTTTGATGGACAAGTCAATGATCATCCTAGGTTTTCGTCGCCTTAAAACTATGACTTCATGCTACCTATCACAAAAGAGAAAAAACACTAGAAGTTCATACTTTGGCTGAGTTCTTTTACTTGCAATCTAATAATTGGTGGAGTTTTGTCGTAGTGCCTCAGAGGCTTTTTGTAAGAATACCTCCAACTTCTAAGTGGGTTCTTCACACCAGTGACGTATCTACATTTGCATTTGCACATGCAATTATTTATTTATTTATTAAGGCCTCTCTATTTGCACTTTCACATGCAAAGATAGATAACTAGCTTCTCAGAGGAAGATTATGTTTTTACCATTTGTTTCCGTTCGCAGGTCAAAGAGGTCTTCTCTGCTCTTGCACCTGCAGTAGGCCTGTCTGTCGGCTTGGCAGTAGGTCAGTCATCAATTTCAGATGAAATCTCCGAGCTCATCAAGAAACCCAATGTTGAGTATGGCATATGTTATGATCCTGAAGAATTCTCATACGAGTTACAAAGTGCAGTAGACATATTAGTGGCAACTCCTGGAAGACTGATGGACCACATCAATAACACTGATGGTTTTACGCTTGAGCATCTATCTTATCTTGTAAGCTGCATATATTTAGTTGCTTAGAATTTCTTAGTATGTATATTTACATTAGTCCCCTATTCTTCTGTTCTTTGTTGCGATTAATATCATGGCATAAAGCATTTCTGTCTGAGAATATCTTGATCATCTTAAGAAGCCAAGTGTCCCAGCTAACTTTTTGCTTTTCCTTAGGGTCTGCATGTCTGTTATCTCATTAGTCTATTAGGTCACTAGGAAAACAAAGCGCAGGGAATTACCTTTGATAATTTGAAAGAAGTTTGTTAGAAGTAGGGTGATACCGAGGTAAAACAAACAGACAACTATAGTGCATGTTTTGGCAGCAAATGTGCTGGCTATTTGTCTTTATGTTAATAGATTTCTGATGTCTTTCCACTATCTTCATTTATATCAATGGATTGATCAATCATTAATTACATGAAAGAAATAGTAGAGCTTTTGAAGCAAAAGAGCTGAGTTTTTCATCTAAGGAATCACTTCCTGTTTAATGTATTTTTTGTGCATCCGTGATGTTTCTATTTGCATAGAGTGTGGGTGTCTTTTGTAGAGAATCACATCCTTCTGTAATTACCCTACTTTTTGTATGTGGGAGCTTTCCCATTATCAATAAAATTATATTTACTTGATTAAATTATTAATATATGTTTGTTATTTTATTCACTTCAATACCTTTTTCCTATTTGAAAAGGAAAGCTTGGAATGCTACTATGCTAATAACTCAGACAATTAAGAATTGTTTCAATTTAATCATTAAACTTCAAAGTGGTAGTTGTAGGTCTTGTGAGTGTGAGGTACATATTATGATATTGCTCGTTTTTTCTTCATTATACTTTGTTGAAACCATTTGACTTACATTTTGGTACCGTGTAGGTTGTTGATGAAACTGATAGGTTATTAAGGGAAGCTTATCAGTCCTGGCTTCCTACCGTCATTCAGTTGACCAGCTCTTCTGTTGATGGGAACTTCCCTTCTGCTGCTGATCTTCTTCCTTGCACTTATGGTTCATTGAAGACAATCAGAAGAATGTATGTTGTTATGCCTATCCCCTATTCCTTATGAATTGCTTATATGTGGAATCCTCTTTTGATGCACATCTTTCTCTCAGTCGTAATCTGACATTTTTCTAATCAAGAAGTAATTGTCTGGTTATTCAAGTCTTGTTTGATTCTTTCTTTGACTGTCATATCGTTTTCAATGTTGAGTTGCTTACTCTTTTGATCATGAAAATGTATCTATCCTTGCACCTAAGTGTGTGACCTAGTGGTTGATGAAGTAGGTGGAGAACCATGAGGTCTCAAGTTCAAATTCCAGCAGAGGTAAAAAAATAAAAATCTACTCTAACTTTGATGGGCAGAATTACCCGATACGTGTGGTGACGGGAGGTAGTAGCCTAGCAGGTACCTGGTGGAAAGTCGGGGTGAACACAAGCTGACCCAGACACCACTGCCATCCAAAAAGAAATGCATAACGTATTATTTTGTTAGTGGATCCAACTTTGTTGGAAGGTTTACCTTTAATCAATTGATGGTTCATTGAGTTTGCTCCTTAGGATCGAATAGGTTTAAGTGCACATAGGCATTTCACTGTCTTGTTTTCTTTTTGTCCATTTCACGTGTGGGATTTTCTTAAGCATTGCTTTAAAACTATTGCAGGGGCACTGAAAGAGGGTTCAAGGGAAAAGCCTATCCAAGGCTGGCAAAGATGGTTTTATCAGCCACACTAACACAAGACCCAAGTAAACTTGCTCAGCTTGATTTGCATCATCCTCTTCTTTTGACGACTGGAGAAAGACGTTACAAGCTTCCTGAAGAACTCAAATCATTTAAAGTGGTGGGTCTATACTACTTGAATGAAATATGGTCTATTTATATATTATCTTCTTTTTCCTGATATGCCTGAAAATGCGTTTATTATTGCATGTCATTTATCTTGATGATTGATCTTCTTATTCCAAAAATTATTGTTATTCCATAATATTTAGATGTTGTCTAGGAGGAACTTTGTTTTGTTTTCTGTAGATATGCTCACATAGCAGAAATTACTGCTTCAGTGTGGTCTAAATGTTTGTTAACAGCATATTACTTTATCTAAAAGCATTGGCTTAAACTGTGTTGTGAATCGACCTTGTGGATTGTCTTGAGACATGAGTGTCTCCCCTACATTGCTAAAGTCCAAACCACTGTTATTAGAAACCAGCACTTTGTTGCTGAAAGTGACTGTGCGATGCAAAGTGAGGGTTTGTCTAAAAACCATCACTTCATTGCTTAAAGGGACAAAGTGATGCTGAAGGTTTATCTAAAAACCGATTCAACAGAGCAATGCGAAGTGAAGGTTGTTGCCTCATGAGGAAGCAGTGTTCTTCAGAAAGTAATTTATCTAGTGTGAAGCAGTCGATTATTCAACAGACTTTGAAAGATGAAAAAGAAACCAACCATTCTTTTTTCCTCCTCTTTTTTGCCCAGTTCAAAATAAAATGTGGGGTGGGGTGGGGTGGGGGGAATAGGGATTTTTGCTATTTGAGTATTAGGACTCCTCTCCAAATTACATTTTAATGATGTTTTGTTTGAGCTGTTGAATAAATACTTTCATTGTCGAATTCTGGATGCTGAAGTTTGCAATTCAGTGTTACAAGTACTAAATTCTTTTATACTGGGTAATTTTTGTGCTTTCAATACATTGTGTGCTTCAATTTGAAAAGTTTGCACCTGACGTCTCACTTTTCCCTCCCATTGGATTTGTGCTATTTTGTGCCACACTGTTCCTCACAGGCAGATGATTGATATCAGTGATTTTACCTTCCTTTTGTGTAGCTATGTCAATCAAAGCTTAAGCCACTTTATCTAGTTTCCCTTCTTCAAAGTCTGCAAGGGGAGAAATCAATTGTTTTCACATCATCTGTGGAGTCCACTCATAGATTATGCACCTTGCTCAAGTTTTTCGACAATTTGCAAATTGAGTTCAAGGAGTATTCTCGTCTTCAACGGCAATCTGTAAGAAGGTACTTAGATACATTCGCTTAACAACTTGAGTTTAGCCCTGAGCTGTTACATTATGTAATTTGCTAGAGAAGTTTGCAGTCAACTGTATTATGATGTTTTGCATGAACCCACATTTTACTGAAGCTATCTGAATAGTCATGCGTGGAGCCATCTAGGTTGCCAAAAAGCTGTAATGTACTACTATACTGTTAAAAAATCTGTTTTGTTTAGTTGGTTTCCAAAGTGCTATATTAGAAGTACACAAATATCTGGGGTTCAGATAAAAAGGATAGTTTCCAGTGTTCCAAAATTATGTATCAGAGACAATTTTTGTGATCAAGAAATGCATCAGAGAATCTTTTCTGACCATATGGAATGTCTGCATCCACTGGAAATCTGTCTACCTAATCCAAGTGACCGCTGAAGGCTGTTAACCTTTATAGGTTTTTGGCTTTATCAAAAAAAAACCTTTATAGGTTTCTGGAGAAGAAAGGGCATGTTTGGTATTGTTCTGTCTTGATTGCCATCTTAGTTAGTTTACTAGAGCTTTAGACTTGCAGTTGGATTAATGGAAAAGTTAAAAAAAGAAAACGAAGTACAGAAAAACTAAATATAATTGGTCGTCATATTTATACTTGACGTTGTTGACAGGTGATGTTACGTTTATTTGGGAAACGTTTTGTGGTGAACCACTTGTGTGATTGGTCTTGCATATTTAAGTCTATCATCTTGCAACTTAATATCCTGAACTTTTGCCTTACAGCAAGACGTTGAGGGCTTTCCGGTCAGGGCAAGTGCAAGTGCTTATTTCCTCTGATGCTATGACTCGTGGAATGGATGTTGAAGGAGTGAGAAATGTCATAAACTATGATATGCCTGCATATATAAAAAACATTTATTCATCGGGCAGGCAGAACTGCAAGAGCGGGCCTAAGTGGATGTTGCTTTACGTTAATGCATAAAGATGAGGTGTGTCTTTTTAAATGACGGGGAGCAAATGTTTTAAAGATTCCAACTTTAAATGATCTATTTTTCGTATTGAGACATTAAGTTCTGGCCCCTAAGGAAGCTAAAATTTTGTAAATTACCTGATATAGTAAATCTGACTATAGCATGCTATTAACATAATAAGTACCTTTTTCTTTGGGGTACTTCATTAAATTAAGTTTTGCTCTAACAGTAGAGTAATGACTACTTGAGCTGATTGGTTAAAAAAAACTGACTATTTGAACTGGTTCACTGCCATCAAATGGTCACAAAATTGGGAAAAAAAAAAGGTCAGATCTTGTCGCTCATAAGCTGCCATAAAAGCTAAACACTTCTCCACTCTCAATGTGCTTGTATTCATATTGTTATCCTAACTGTCACAGCACTTGGAGTGTTCAATGTTTTAGGATACTTTGTATGATGTACCAACATACTTGTAAAAATAAATGATCTAATCTCAGACTATTAACTGTGCATACCACCAAGTTTCTCAACCTTTCCGCGATATACTTTTTCGATGGAGGAGTTCGGCTTGGAACTTTGAAGCACTAAACTTTCTTTTGCTTTTGCAGCAAATTCTTGTTTAAATATGAAATTTTCCAATGCTAATTTTTGCAGGTCAAGCGCTTCAAGAAGATGCTACAAAAAGCTGACTGTAACTCTTGCCCTACCTATTCTGCTTCTTCTGAAGTGATAGAGTCACTTCGCTCTGTGTACACCTCAGGTACTTTCTTTTTCCATTTTCAACATGTTTGTAAGTACTTGGCAATCAAAGTGGAGCACTATATGTTGAAATTATGAAGAAACCAGCAGTAGTTCATTTACCTGATCTGATACTTAAACCTTGAGATCTCCTATTAGCCTTTTTTGGAGAAAAATAAAGTATTTGAACTATTTCTGCAATTACTCTTCAGTTATTCTGTGTTTTTAATTGAACCTCTTTTCATTGTTTTCTAGCTTTGGAGAAACTTAGAGAGAATGTTGAATCAGAAAAGTTTAAGAAAAGCAAGATTAGGTTGAAATCTTCAAATGTGAGAAAGGAGAAGTGAAAAGCTGTCCATGGTGATAACTTCCATTTTCCTAGACAGTGTAGTACTCTGTTGCCAACCAGTTTATGATTATATCATGGTGAGTCGCTACATTTTGATATTATTGTGTTATTTTCATTTTTATGTCATTATGTTTCTTGCTGCTTGCCTATAGATTGTTAGCATTGTTCTTGGTTCTCTAGTTGATGCCACACAAAAGAGTACAGAAGAAAGTGTTCCAATGTTGTTTCTCCTGACAGTGGTAATTCATGTTTTTTGTATTATTTTTTTTGCTCTTTTTCTATTGCAGCTATCTTCATCCATTCGATGCAAATATTAAGATAAGGTGGATATCATTCTGCCTTTTGTTTAAAAAGTTGCACTGTTTTTATAAAATTAATTAGAATTTGAAGGTCATATGATTCTAGCGGAACTGCTGGTATTCTATAAGCTGAAAGAGAGGATAAGGGAACTAGACTAGAAAAACTAGGAGTAAGGAGAAGTGGGGAGGGTCGGGTATATTGAAGTTGGAGGGTAAACTGACTCTCCAATTTAGCATATTGTCTCTTTTGAGAGAAAAGCACTAGTTAAGAACAAAGGGAAGCAATGATGTGTGACAACCAGTAGGCAAGTTCTTTTGATGTAAAATTGTTCAGTTGTTCATATAAAGTATGCATGTTTCTACATTCTCGTGTTCTGGTCTAAATGCATGCTGTGGAATAGAATACTTTGTTTATTTATAAAAGAAACAAAAATACTGGCACCCAAGGGTGTGACCTAGTGGTAAATGAAGTGGGAGGAGAACCATGAAGTCTCAAGGTCAACTCCCAACCGAGACAAAATATACTAGGTGATTTCTTCCCATCTACCCAAGTCTTGGTGGGCAGGGGTGCCCCGTAGGTTGGTGGGAGCAGCAGGCACCCAGTGGTATAATCAAGGTGCGCAGAAGTTGGCTTGGACACTGCCGTAAAAAAGAAACAAAGATACTGTGCATAGCAATTTCTTAACTGGACTGAAGTAACTTTGGGAAAATTTAAAGAAGTAGCGATAAGTATTCTGATAGTTCGATAGAGATATTTTCCTTTCTCACATGGTTACATTTAGTCAATATATCTGGCAATAAGAGTTTACAGTCCAATCTTCGCTGACTTTGTAACTAAGAGAAAATTTGCTGAAGGAAAACAGCAAGAATCAGTAGATTGGTCAGGAAATTGAAAATTGAAAGTACTCTCAGGCCTCAGCCAGCCTAAGTAGATACTTTAGCTGCCAAATGCAGAAAGAGGCCTCTGAACTTCTTTGAGAAAAGATTTAGAATTTTTTGCATTTGAAGATAAAGCAGAATAAGTTGAAGATGATGACAGCGAAGAACTCTTCAGTGAGAGTGCCTCACTTGTGCTAGCTTCTCTCTCCTCCTCTTTGATGGTTTCTAGCATTTTTGAGGCTCGGTGTCTCATGACATTTACAAACTGTGGTGGTGCGACCTCTGTAACAAACCTAGCAATACGAGCATTTGCCATCTTCTTAGTAGGTTTTGGTAGAGACTGCAGTTGAGAAAAAAGGTCCAAGATGCTTGGTAGAGCTGTAGAAGTAGTGTTTAAGAAGAAGGTGGGTTGTATGAGTTAAAAACCACCGAAGGGGTGAAATTTATAGGGTTGTGGATTATATTATCCTTCTATGGTCTGGCTTAAATTGAACCAGTCGTCTTAATCGAGGTTTTAATTATTTTTTGCTGTTAGTGCCGTCACTTACTTTTAGTCTTAATTGAACAGATAAAGATGTTATCATCATAGTCATCCTCTTGATGAGACATCCTCATATGGAGCCACGGAATGCAATGTGTCTATGCATGAGTAGAAAAAGCAACACATCTTAAATATGCGGTATTTGTTGCCTTTGAAAGCTTCCAAATTTGAACTTTTCCTTATTGAGCGGGAACCTGCTGATTGAATGCCACATGCCCTTTCTGCATTTAATGATTCACAGCATATGAAAAATTATTGTGATTGGTTCTGTGCATGTAACAAAGGGTTGCACTAGAGACGAGACACATTTTTATCTTTCTAGAATTGCAGTTGGTAACTTGGTTAGCATCACTTAATCCCTCTATGTGGGTTATATACTAGAAACTTGTTCATTATGAAATCTATATTTCAGATACTTACGTATCACCATTCTAACATATATTTCAGATACTTACTTATCACCATTCTAACATATATATTCAGATACGTACTTATCACCATTCTAACATAATGTCAACATCCATGTCTTAACTTGTTTGTGTGAAGAACCTTTAGTTAATGGCATTTTAACCTTAATAATATAGTTCAACTCGTGCTGCTCTGCCTTTTACTTTGGTCAGGCAGGTCCCACTTTCACCATTATTTTGCCCCATCTCTCTCCTGTAATTGTCTTGTTTAATTTCTTGCTTACTTCTCCAGTCTTTCTGTTGGTTTGTAGAATTTTAGCCTCTGTATATCCTTCTATTCTTCTTTTACTTCTTCATTTCTTCTCCTTTACAAACCTACTTTCAAAGTTCAATTTAACTATTTGTTGGTGTTCTGGTTTTAGAGATGTACATTACATTTTTCTGGAGTCTTCTCAATCTCATGGCTTTTGAAGAGGGGTGTGGAATCGCTTAAGAGTTTAAATCAGCCTTTTCATGATATTCTTAAACAAAATCCCAGGACTTCTGGCTTTTCATTCTTTTCGACAAATGATAAATAATTATACGAATATCAATTTTGTTGGGAAAAATTCTCAAATTTGTGGTAAACAAGGAAAATAATCTGATTATCGCTGTTGCTGCTAGTTTTGGAGGAGAAAGCTTTGTGATTCTGTTAACTGTGTTCTTTCTTCTTTCAGTAGATAGGTGATGATGAAAGGTTAGAACAAGAGGAAAATGTGCTAAGAATGGTAGTTGGATCCACTAGTACAGATTAATAATATGAGGATATGTAAAATTTAAACGTTGTTTGATCTGACCTTAAATGAAACAAGACGTGGGACAGGTAGTAAATATAACTCAGAAAAGAAAATGTAACCCAGGATTACGTAAAGCTTTATAACGTCGCTAAAAGAAGAGACACTCACTGTCTTTAGAAAATTTTAGCCGAATGGTAAAACATCACCGCAGAGTATGTTTATGCACGGTAATTTTCACAAATGTCATCAGCAGTTAGCTTTTTGTCAGTCAGAACTTGGAAATAAAATAATCCTTAAAACGTTTCTCCCACGTGTCTTTAGTCTATTTATGAAATTATTTAAAATTTTGTGTTGTTTTTGTTAATTTTCTTTAATGATGTATTATTTAAATGAAAAATTCGGAGGAGGAGGAGGGTGAATTCCTGATAGCAAGGAAACAGAGATAGGAACAGGGGGAACGAGGGAACATTTTATGGAAGGGAGAGTAAGCTTCAAAGGGGTAGACTTTGAGGTAGAAGGGTGAGGGTGGGGTGGGGTGGGAAGGAGAGATAAGGAAGCGGAGAAAAAACTAAAAGTCCAAGTATACTAGACTCACAGAGGAAAACTGCGGGGAGGGGGAAAGTAAGGGAGGATGTTTCTTGTGGTTTGGAGGAAAGCACCTTTTTAGAACAAAAAGGAAGAAGTGCTGGGTGCATGATCAGTTAGTATTATATTCTAGGGAAGGGGGGAGCAATAAGGTTTTTCAAGGTAAAGTTGCTCAATTGTTTGTTTTAGTATGGATGTTACTACATTCTCTCATTCTGCTGTAATTAGATGCATTTGAGTTCACTGTGCTATAGAATGTTATCGTATGCTTGTAAAGCCCTTCCTTAGTGCCTGTTTTGTAGAATAACATATATTAATTATGTATAAAAGAAACAGGATACAAGATGTGCATAACAATTTCATAGCCGTACTGAAGTAAATTTGGTAATATTTACAGAAAGTAGCAACAGAAATTTACTGATAATTCAAAGGAGGAATTTTCATCTTCCCATAGAGGTTACATACAGTCAATACTTATCTAGTCTCAGCAGAGCTTAGACTCTGTCCAAAGCTTTGCGGACTTTAATTTGCTGAAACAAGGAATCAGTAGACTGGTCAAAAATTAAAAGCATTCTTAGCAAGCTAGAGTATATACTTTAGCTGCCAAATACAGAAAACGACCTCTGAACTTCTTTGAGAAAATATTTAGAACTTTTTACATTTGATGATGAAGCAGAATAAGCTGAAGATGATGAAGACGATGAAGGCGAATAACTCTTCAGAGAAAGTGACTCGCTTGTGCTAGCTTCTCTCTCCTCCTCTTTGATGGTTTCTAGCATTTTTGAGGCCCGGTTTCTCATGACATTTACAAATTGTGGTGGTGCTACCTCTGTAACAAACCTAGCAATACGAGCATTTGCCATCTTCTTTTGTAAGTTTTCAAAGAGACTGCAGTTGAGGGGAAAGGTGCAAGATGCTTAGATAGAACTATAGAAGTAGTGTTTTGAGGATAAGGTGGATTGTATGCCTTACAAACACAAATGAGATGATATTTATAGGGGTTTTAATTAGATAATCCTTTATGATTTGGCCTAAAATGAGCCAGTTGTCTCAATCGAAGTTTTAATCATTTTTAGCTGTTAGTGCAGCCACTTACTTTTAGTATTAATTGCAGAGACAAAGATGTCTCTAATCATGGTCATCTTATTGAAGAGATATCCTCCTAGATGGGACCGCAGAATGCAATATGTCTATCCATGAGTAGAAAAAAACAGCATAACTTAAATATGCGGTTTTTGTTTCCATCAATATCTTCCAATATTCAACTTTACCTCATTGAGCTGCAACCTGCCACATGCCCCTTTCTGCATTTCATATCTAAACTGGTTCTTTCGTGCAGATCTGGATGAATCGTGCAGTCGGTGGAGGGTCAAAAAGACTAATCCTGTTTGCGGGATTGTGAAAGCTGGACTTTCCATGAAGGTTCATTGCCAAAATTTGAGTCTCTTACGCTATAACGAGAGAAAAAAAAATCATGTATATAAGCATCCAGGGACGTCGATGGAGACGCCTTTTATTTGGATGGTATGAAAATATTGAATGGCTGGGATTCTTCATTGCTGGTGAAAATTGAAAAAACTGGAGATTCTCATCTTGAACTATGATTATAATGGCAGTCGTTAACTTAAAAAATGACAATACACCAGTTTTTGTTATTTGCTGGAGATCTTTCATACTTCAATTTTATTTATTTATGTTGTATATGGGTGATTCCTCGGGAAACAGCCTCTACCTCCATGAGGTAGGAGCAAGGTCTACGTACACTTTACCTTCTCGAGACTACACTTATGGGATTTCACTTGCTATTTTGTAATGTTTAGATATAGAGCCCTCTTATCGAATTTCACTGGGTATATTGTAATGTTCAAATATTTGCATTTTATCTATTATTAGAGTTGATGGTCAAGAACACACTTAAACTATTATTTTTTCACGAGTTTCACATCCCAACTATTATGTTCTCTTTACCTTACTTAAACTATCATAATCTATGTATTAAATTGTTACGTGATACTTGTAGTGGTGGGAGGTAGCATGTGTCATGTGACATTAGTCGATGTGAGTGTAAATTGGTTCAGACATCACGATGCATGAATTGTTATGCGATGAGTAAGGTTATTTTTCTCACTAGTAATATTATATCTGGTGGCTAGTTAAGACATAAATTATTTATATTTAAAATTGACATGGTGTTTAATTTTGCAATTTAAAAAACTCTATAATTAAATATTTATAAGTTATAAGGAAATTTATTTACTATTTTCTAAGTTATAGTTAAAGATTTAAATTATTTTATATTTCAAACAAAATGGATAAGACTAGAAGTAATTGGGCTCCACAAGTCACGTGTATTTAACATGCACATCCATTTGAAAGGGTACCCTTCTTTGCCACGTTTCACAGGAGATCGGTAAAAAATAATATATGAAATTTATAAAAATAATTTTCGATTTAATAGTTATTTTCTTAACTTAAATTATAAACAGACATAAAAGATTGTTTTTACTTTCAACGCCTATAGGTAAAGAGATATTGTTATTTCAGAAGGATTTTATTAGTGTAACATAATAATGGCCCAAGTGTATAATTATTCGATTGTTTTGGTGCTGCTCCTCAACATCAAATATCGATCACAATGGATTGAATGGTGTGTGACAAATTTGATATCAAAACTTAGTCTTTAGAAATTCGTCACGTGTCTATGGAACCATGTCTAGTGAAGGCTGCACATTTATGAACCACAACATTTTTTATCACGCCAACGGAGCTAAGGTTTCTAAGAACTTTCGAATGTGTTGATTATTCATGCCTTTCAGGAAAATGGCTTCTTACTCGTGTTGATGTTGCTATTCAACTAATGCTAGTGCCTTACACAGTTTCAACTGCACAATCAATCCCACCAACTAATCTTTCGGTTATTCACACCAATGTTGTTATAGAGAATGAAAATAAGACCCAAGTGCCTCCACCAACCCAATCTTCTCCGATTGATCATGTTCCGGAGGTTGGTGATGAATGTTATTCAGTTGCATACCACCTATTATGGTAGTTCAATTTAAACGAGCAAACATTGAAATAACAGTTAAACGTGAACTAGGTTCAAGCATTTCTTGAGCTTGAATCCACATATATTTTTTAGCTCTAAGAACAATGATAAACCTGAAGTACTTTATTGATGGGACTTTCAAGGCTTTTAGGCCTAGTGGGTCTTTTTTGAGTTTTGGTCGAGGTTCCTCTTAGTCGCGAAGCTCTGATTCTGACGAAATCAAATTCTCCTTGATAAGGCCTATCTTTAATGCTTAGAAAAAAATTCTTTATTCACCTCAATCTTCCATTGATTATCACCTATTAATTTCAACGATTTACTACAATTTTTTATTTTTTTTTACTATTTCAATTTTTTCAAATATGTTATGTTTAGTAAAATAAAGAAAAATATATCTATATTTAGTAAGCCCATAAAATTGAATTTATTGGGCTTGGGCCCATTACTCTATTCTAAAGCCCATGAAATTCTATTTTTCCAATTTCTCTCAATTAACCGGTTAAACCCCTGCCGGAAAAAAAGTCTCAACTCTCAAAACCCTACTTCACCGGAGCGACGTTGAATGTAAATGCCGGTTAACTCGTCGTCGGTGACTGCATAGTTTGTCGGAAACCTACTGCGATTGGTAATATGCTCTTACTTTCCCCTTTTTTCGCAGCAATTTTCCATGCAATTGTCTCGGTTTTCGAGGTTTGTATAACGAAATTACTCATACATTTGGTTCATTATTTTGTATATAGGTTGGGAGTTTGAAGATAAATTGAAATTTTGAAGGAGACATTGCTAATTGCAGATCACGAACATGGTAAATATTATTCTGCATTATTTTTCAGTAGCTTGTAAGATTTTAATACATGGGATTCTGAGCATTTTTTGATTTGTGGTAAGCTGAATGTTAATTTTCTCTGTATTGTACTAATTTAAACTTGTCTCAGATTCTATAATGCCTTTACTAAATCAAATTCAATTTTTTTTCTCTCCACCGAACTTAGTCCCCTTGTTAAATTTCTCTGTATTGTGCCAATTTTAAGTTGTCCCAGATTCTAATATGCTTAACTAACCAAAGTTCATCTTTTTATCCACCAAACTAATAGTCTATTTGGCCAAGCTTTTGGGAGGCCAGCAATGGTTATATTTAAGAGGAGGGAGGTGTTTGACCAAATTTTTAGGAGAAAATAAGTGCTTCCAGAGAGTAGTAGAAGTTGTTATTCAGTAGCTAAAAGAAGTTGTAGCTTTTTTCTCCCCAAAAAATACTCCTTTGAAAAGCACTCGTGAGGAACATATACTTAGAAGCACTTCTAAAAAGTTTGGTCAACTACTAATTGCTGCTTAAAAGTGCCGCTCAAACTTATTGGCCAAACTGCTTCTCACCAAAAGTACTTTCTTGAAAAGCACATTTGGAAAAACCACTTTTCATAATAAGTTGATTTTAGAAGTTTGGCCAAACAAACTATTAGGTTTTTTTTTGACATTTTCATAAACTACTTGTGTATTAGAAATGCTAGTATCTTAAACTTCATAGCGAATCATATTTGGGTACTTTGTGCAATTCACTTTTTCCACTATACCTTTTCAAACACATACAGTTGCACACACCTATAGAATATACCTTTAACAGATAGCAAGTATTAAGTCGTGGTTGCTGGGATTTTCAGATTGATGTATGTGGGTTAAAAGATGTGTTCTTCAAATATTTAGAATTTGAGCACCCAAGGGTGCGATGTAGTGGTCATTGGTGTGGGTTGAGCAACATGAGGTCTCAAGTTCAATACCCAGCAGTGACAAAAAGTCAAAAACAGTAGGTGATTTTTTCCCATCTGTTCTTGCCTGGGTGGATAGAGTTACCCGATATATGTTGATGGTGGGAGGTCGTAGGTATCCTGTGGAATTAGTCGAGGTGCGCGAAATCTGGCCCGAACACCACGGGCATAAAAACAAAAATAAAATTAAAAATATTTAGAAATTGAGATGCATGGTTTGAGAGTTTGATGGTATAGTTCTATGTAATACAGTCAGATATCAGGAAATGGTTCATGAAGCAGCATGACAAAGGCACGGGTAATGGGAGTATGTCCAAGAATAGTGCAGCAGAAAAGCCTTCTCCCACTAGTCCAAAGCCAGAAAACCTGGTAAGTATTTTGATTGTGGATCATTTTTCCGAGTTCACTTGCTTTTATATTTACTCTGGTATGGTTGTATGACTTAAGTGTTTGATAATGTTGTTACCGGTTTGTTTCTTATTCTGTTTCTTGGAAACTTTTCTGACTGCCTGGAACGGCGGGGCTGGCTTGTTGCTTCTTTTTGAGATTTCTTGGGACAAATTTATTTTCTATGATTGCCTTGACCCTAGGGTTCTACATGAGTTATTTAAGGAGAAACAGAAAGAATGAAATGGAATGGAGTATCAGAGTATTAGAAATTATGGTAGAAGATTAGGAAGGGGAAATTTAACTAATCATATATATATATAAAAGAGAACCTTAGGCCCGCCTACGTGGTGCCACCACAAACCATAATTCACTTTTAATTTATTTATTTCATATATCATATATATTATATATATATATAACAGAACCTTAGGCCCGCCTACGTGGCGCCACCACAAACCAAAATTCACTTTTAATTTATTTATTTCCAAAACTAGCCTCCTCCTTTCATGAAAAGTTGTGACATTTATGAAAAGTTGCTACTTTAATGAAAATTGTGACTTTAATGAAGAGCTGCAACTTTTATAAAAAGTTGTGACTTTTATGAAAAGTGGTGACTTTTATGAAAGGTTGTGGTCTTTCTGAAGGGTTGCAACTTTCCAAATAGTTGTAACCTTTCCGATAAGGCAAAATAAATATTTATTCACACTACCATTTGTTGTCTATAAATAGAGAGATTTCCTCTCATTTTGAAGCAACGAAAATTCGGAACCTCTTCTTCTTCTTCTTCACAATTAAATATTTGTGTACTTTACTCATGTTGAGTGACTCAGTGACACCATTGCTTATGTTACATATCCTGGTATGTATTTTTACAGTCATTATTTTATGCTTATGTTATTAAGGATAAATGATAAGATGTAGTAATTTTCATTTTCCTTTACATTATGAATTTTTAATATAAGCTAATATAGTGTTTTAGTTTTAGTGGCTAGGTTTTAAGTATTATTTTATATATTCTGTGATATTAAATTCCCGCGCGAAGCACGGGTAATTTTACTAGTTTAATATAATTTGGAACTTCCATGAGAACTTAGTGTTTTCTGCACTAAGAATCTTAAACTTCTGACGTTAACTCCTTGTTTCTATCTTTTTTGCAGTAAATTAAAAAGTGGTCACCATCAATTAGTCCTGTAGAATATGATTGATCTTTGTTGATTTAGAACACATCAATATATGAATTTATCTTTCTAAATACAACAACAAATAAAGAATATGATTGATCTTTAAATTTTTTAATTATCTCATTGTTGGGTTTTTTAGATAGTAGGTAGAGCTTTTGAGATGGTGGAATGTTTCTACAGGAATCATCAAATGCAATTTTCTAAAATTTGAGAACCTATGATAGACATCAGCCTCTTTTTTGTTTTTTTTGTTAATCTTATTTTTTTTCTTCCATTTAATGGACACCAGGTACAAGAAGGACAAGAGACTACCAACAGAAGGAAAACTAGTAAATATTTTGCTACAGACAAGGTGAAGGCAAAAGAAGAAAAAGTTGAGGAAGTGTCAGCAAAAAGAAAAGCTCAAAGTGCTGCTGGAAGTTCATCAGCTAATGAGAAGCCACCAGCTGCAAAAAAAATTCACAAAGCTGAGGATGATGATGACTTTGTACCATTGGTATCTACAATGGGATCCAGAGATGTCACTC